CATAAAAAGTTCGTGGCGGTCTCACCCCCATAAAAAGTTATGGGGGTTCAAAGTTAATAAATATGCCAATTTTTATACATTTCTAGGCATGCAAATATTTATATAGTCATTCTTAAACAATATTCAAAGGTAAAACTAATGAAAAATACATAAAAATATTGAGAAAGTTATATAAAACATTATTTAAATATCTTTATCAATAGGTTAGGTTAGGTTAGGCTAGGTTATCGGGTTTTGTTCCAGTGACCACCCTCTTTCGATCCCCCACCTCCACCTGCTTGAAAATAATCATTTTATTGAATTTTATTTGAATTATAGTGTATGAAAATTGTCAAAATAATCAACTTTCAACCCCTATAACTTTTTAGGGGGGTGAGACCGCCACGAACTTTTTATGGGACAGTGGTGAGGGAGACCTCCTCTTTCGAAACCACCCACCCCCAACCCCTTTGGGGGTGGGGGGCCACAATCTAGACATTTACCAAAAGTATAATCATTCTTCCCCTGTTTTTAAATTTAGTGTGAATCAATGCCAAAAATGAGGTGGAGAGGGTTAAATGTTATATATTATTCAAAAAAGTTTTTATTTTCAATCGGTGCTTTATAGTATTACCTTTGAACGACGACGTTACCGGAACGGCAACAATGATAAGAAATATTCCGCCAATACTGCTCGAATGTTTCGTTTCCTGCGAATCGTTGATATGCCTAAATGTGGCTGTCAGTTGGAAGGCCTGATAGGAGACAGTTTTCTCAACCACCCCGAAACCGGTCGTTTTGAGACCTTTGTATTTCCTCAAAAAGACGTAGAACGAGTTTTTCATATCTAAAACGAAAAGGTTTATTTGGGGAGGTGAATAATGGCCTCTATGCGGATGTAAATCACTAACTTTTTCCAGCGGAATCAGTCAGTGGAATTGTAATACCCGTAGTAACCTGAGCGGAAAATGTCTCTCTATCTTTGGGATGAACGAAATCGATGAAAGAACGACCCAACCACATGTCCTTCGGGAATCCTAATAAATTCGTGAGACTCGGCGTCGTGTACAGGACTACGCCGTCGTACATGGAAATTACGCAACAAAAACCTTCCTGTAAATCACAAAAACATCCCAAGTAATTACCCTCTTTGTCTACTAAACGTCAGTGGCGGAACAATGGGTAAAAGTGCACTCTCCTTAAAGTTAGCTCGAAATATTACAATACAGGCAACATAGCCACTTCGTTCGTGTTGTCTTTTCCTGCCGTAAGCATAACGGTAAAAAAAAACAGTTATGTTATATTGCTGAGGCAACTTTAAAGATTCATTCTTTTTTAATGCTGGTCACTAATTAAGTACTTGTTAATTATAATAAGAGCAAAATGTACGTTTTAAAAATTCTCCTAAAAAGTTATTTACGTTAAATATTTTTGTTTTGGTTCCTTAAAAGATGAAACAAACAATCTTTTTGATGCTACTTTCTAATTTTAAGCGAAAAAATATCCCAAACTTGGTATGAATTACATGAATAAAATATCCCCTAAGAGAAAGCGACACGTTTCCGAGAGAAAAAAAAAAAAGAAAAAGATATTGTACCTCTAAATCGTTACAATTGCTTTTGCCGAACGAATCAAGAGAGTCATCGGAACAAACGTTCGTTATTTCTTGGGCATTCGGCGGCTCCTGGGGTTGGTGATTTACGGGGATGCCATTATTCCAGTCCGTTATGTTTTCTGCCGGCGTCGTCTCTGAAATTTGATAATAAAAAATGCTCGAAATATGCTGGTTTCCTTAACAACGCACTATTGCGTTTCCAAAAATGTTCTCCGATATCTACTAATTCCATCTTCGTTTACAATTTCTTATCCAGAATAATGAAATTAGCAGTTAACAATGAAAATACAATCAAACAGTAACTCTTTTACAAGGGCCGATTACTACCAGACGTAGATTAAGCAGCATGCATATGTGAACATTGCAATTCAAAACAATATGTTGTCGTCTTGCCAAAAATACGTAACCGAAATACGCGTAGTGTAGAACCGACCTTATAAATTAAAATGAAGCTTACAGTCCCTAGGACTTGAAGTAATTATCGAAGTGGGCGGAGGAAAGTCTTAACAAACGCAAAACGCGTGTTTTCATGCCTAATATTTTCAACAATATTAAATATAATAGCAGTAGAAAATTAACCCTCAAAAATGCGATAAGTATGATTAATTCAGAAGCAAAGCATAGCAAATTAAGCAACAATAGAAAAAAATTATGTGAAGCGTGTGCTTGTGAAATATACCAACTTAGTCTGAGGATGGTACTCATCACGAGCAGTAAAACGTTTGGCACAGCACAAATCAGATAACTCTAAATCAAATATTCCTTCTTATTCTGTAATTGTATTCGTCTGCCTTATTTATGTTATGCTTAACTCTTAATCGATCTAGGATTAAGTAACGTACTCATTGATAAAATAGGTAATCCATAAACTTAAATTCAACCAACATTTTCGGGACATCTAAAGAAGGCTGTCGAAACGTAAAGAAACTTGAATAATCACCCGCACTTTTTTTCAACAGGAATTTATTATCTTCCATCACCAGCGGTGCCTTATATACGTCGCTTCTTGGAATAAGCACAATTGAAGTGGTTATGAAGATAACTAATTGTCGCATACTTTTATCTTTATAATTTGAATTTATAATATGATGATAACTCTTNACAATTGAACTATTATCCGTAATAAATGTTAACAGAAATAAATAAATTTAATTGTAACATTAAGATGAAGGATTATATTCAGTTGTTACCCGGCTGCAACTAAATAATATCTGTTAATTATTTTTAAAACTCCTTCCTTTTTTACCGTTATATAAAGACCATTCATCCGACAGGAGGGGATGAAATTTATTTTAAATGTACAGTTGATTACCAAAAACATGTCAGAGGGCACATGTTTTAAAGAACTATTGTAATACGTAAGAACATTGGTGTACTCTGCAATTTATTTAAACTATCGGACGTATATCGCGATTTTGACTTTTTTTGGACCTCATCAGCACACTGATACTATTTTTATTAATTTGGTTTACGTGTATGTCACGTATGTAAACTTAGACGTCGATTAAGTTGGACAAGTAAAAAAGTTAACTCTAATAAGTGAAATACTTCAGTAGATGGCATTAGATATATATAAATAAAAGATTCAAATTTTCGGTGAAATTGGTCAACAACGAAAATTTTTCAGAAGTGTACATCTCAAATAATTACAATTTCATCAAATATTTTGATATTTACTCTAATGTTTCGAATTTATTGATCTGTAAATGTCATTGACAATTTCTAGTGGTTCTTGTTGCTGTTCAATTGTTTTTAGACTTTCGTTAATATAATTAATTATTATTAGAAAGAAATGTATTTATTATAAAGTAACATTTTAATTTTCCCGTGTGTAAGTTTTACGTTAACCCACTGTATATGAAAAGTATTTTTACCATAAAAAATCGTAATCATATCAATGTCATTAGGTAAACGTATTAAAACCTGTATGTTTCGCAACAAAATAAATTAAGTATTAACTTCAGCATCTCTTTGTTTAATGCCAGACTTTTCCGAATTATATAAAAAGATCTTTTAATTCAATCCCATGAACTATTTCCAGACTTATTACCGGATTCTCTTCAAATATTTAATAAAGTCGACGTTATTTTTCTTGATGAACACGTGTAATTAAAAGTAAGTAACGGTAAGTTTGGTTTCTCTTTTCTATGAATAAATTCACGAGAAATTATATTATTTTACGAAAACTATGTTTTATGTACTTTGATTTCTAGATTCGCAAATTAAGCAAATGGTGCTACCTTAGACAAAAATTTTCAGTCGCCCTGCAGTCTCTCAGAATCTCTCAGTCTTTCAGCGTCTCTCACAGTCTTTTACAGTTTCTCAGTTATTGCCTAGGTATTTTTATGGATCTCTCAGTCTCTGTATGAGAGACTCGAACGATAAAATTGTTAATTCAGAGATTCGAGTCTCTCACAGAGAGACTGAATGAATAAAACTGAAAAATTGAGAGATTCGAGTCTCTCGCAGAAAGACTGGGATCTCTGAAATATGTGGAATTTAGAAAATTTTAACCACGTCTATCGAGAGACACCACTTATTGAGAGATTCGAGTCTCTCGTTCAGAGGGTGGATAAGAAAATTTTAACCACGTCTATCGAGAGACACCACTTATTGAGAGATTCGAGTCTCTCGTTCAGAGGGTGGATACGAAATGAGGATCTCACTATGAGCGACTCGAGTCTCTCGTTCAGAGACGCTAAACAGTTTTTTTGACAGTTTCTCGACAGTCTCTCTCAGCGACACCAGAGAGACGGAGACTCGAGTGTCGCCTTCAGAGACTCTGAGAGACTAAACATTTCTATCTCGGATTTAAACTTTCATAATTTCGTCCGGACAGAATTTATGTACTTTCTAGACAAATAGCTTTCTTTGTAACTTACATGCTGTCATCATGAGCTGGAGATACACTTTTTCCCTCTTGTTCCGAGTCCGGCCCTGTGGAGGGTTGTCCTCCTTCTTCAGAAGTTTTCGTACGAGGTTTGCTTTCAAAGAATCGATGAATATTCTCATTATAATTGAGCTGATAATAACTGGGAGGCGTTTCACTGGATGCCTGATCGTAATAATCATTGTGTGGCGAAACTTCCCCCAAAACGACGAACTCCCGGTCCTGGAAAAACAATTTTATCCAAATAATTCTAATAATAGGGCACAGAAAGCTGCTTAAACCGGATGCTTAGTAGTAAATTAGTATTTTGTCAGTCACTTTGTAACTTTGAAATTTGTGTTACAATATGACCGATTCTGAAAAGGAGCCATTACCAAAATTAATTTTTTAAAAGCATTATAATTAGGTAAATGATTTATAGATGTGGTTTAGGTAAATTAATTAATGAGCTCGGTATATGTATGTCCCATCTACTACCAGAAAATTGCTAATGCTAATTTATCACGTTATAACCAATGACAAATTAATCAGTTAGTCCATTATCTGCAGGGGCGAATTGTACGATTTTTACGTTTAACCACTTACTAGCATCATTAACTTCATATTATTATTTTGGAAAAACTAATAATCGGATTAACCGAAAGGGCGTCAACGTTTCCCTAATCATTTCATAGGTTCAGTATTATAGAATATCTATTAAAAAAAGACGGAAACAATAAAGTACAAAAATACCTAGATATATATTGTATTCATTTGTTCCGCTTATTACTCCAATACGAAATGACAAAGCTAAACACCAACGGTTCGTTTCCCAATACGAACTTCTTCAAGATTTCATGGGTCTCATTGTCCTTGTGTTATTATGTTTTTTTACTGTTTTACCGAGATGTGTAATGATTTTTTTTTATTATATTAACCGAACGAACTCTAATATTTGAACCAAACACCACTTAACTAAGAAAGGCATCCTTGAAGAGGCCTCGTACTGGTAGGCGAAACATTGATATAGTTTTTCAAAATATAAAACATTTTATACCTTAAATTGGCTTTGCATCATTTCAGTATGTTTTGTAAAGATTTTTTCATTTTTTTTCCCTGATTTTGTTTAAACCGAAAATTACAAAATCAACTAATCAAAACTTATGATCCAATAGTAAAAGTGAATTATTTCCCTAATTTTATTTTAAACTCATTATTGACATTCATGCATTACTTTTACAATTTTTAATAACACTATTGTCCGTTTTAATTTACATTTCCTTGCAATAATTTTTTTATATTTAAGATATTTGATTATTAATTATCTGAAAGTTTTGTTTTCGTCGGCTTTAAATGATCATAGCTGTACTGTAACGTTCCATATTTCGCACATTTGGTGAATAAATGAAAAAGTTAGAAGGGTGTTATTAACGAACTTACAAGGACACTAACGCTAGAATTTTCCGGCGAGTCAGTCTTGACATTCGGCCTGGCCACTTCAGACATAACTTTCTCAATAAATTTTGTGAGATCCTTACATCGTTTCGTCACTTCCTGTCTCGCTTCTTCCGTCGGCTTTGTGCGCTCCTGGAAAAAAATTCGTTCTCTCATCAAGAACAGACCATTTTTTTTTTAACGAAAAACTCCAACTGTCCTATTTATCGTTCAAACAAATTAAATTGCCTTAGTTATGATAAACAGTGCAACGACTATTTCTTAATCTTAATATGTTATCAGGCAAGTACACAACACGAAAGAATCCTAAGAGTCATGGTCCACCCCCTTAATTGCATAAAATTGTCAGAAATGATATCGTTATATATGACGACTAAATTGCTTGCCGTATATGAAAATTTATTAACATATTATTTTAAATATTATCTATACATATAATTAATAGAAATTTGAAAGTAGTATTTAGGTGTGTAGGTTGCAGGTACATATATCATATATCAATACATGATTTTACAAAATCTAAACTCTACAAATATCACAAATTTATTTGTAGGTCAGCAATTCTCAATGTGTGAGGCGCCCTTCTTATGGGAGGGAGATGATAAAGCTAAATGGGGTGCGCGAACATATCGAGAAAAAATAAAATGTTTATTTCATTTACTGAAATAAAATATCAATATATTTACCCATTTGTAGTAATTTGTTATCAAGCTAGAAGTAAAGATTTAGCACCAAAATAAAAGAAACTAATATTACAATTACAGTACGATTTCACTGAAACTTGTTTTAGAAGATAAAACGGGGAGAGCTATGAAAATTGTGGTTGAAAATTGGGTCAGAAATACTAGAAGGTACTACACTGATTCTGTTTAATTTTCATTAATACGAGTACTTTACGGTAATAATCATTAACTTTTGTTTGGCGATTTAAAACAATAATTAAAAATTGAATTAGGAATTCTGCTTCCACTTGAAACATTGTAGGTACTTGTTGATTTTACCTGGACCATATATTTAAACGATAAACAAAAAAGAAACGAATCGAAATGAAAGAGAAACCGTATTAACCGTATTTCTTGAAGGCCGGATAGGGACTTGAATGATAAAATGAATCGCTTTTTCCGAAACGCCAACATTCTGATATCGTTCCGTGTATTGGAGTTCCGCAATTTCTTTCCATTTCACGCTTCAATAAAATTTTCTAAAAGTCCCTTTAGAAAATGATATGTAATTTATGAGGTCCGAACCTATGCTTCATCGGAATGGTCGAGAACGCGAAGAAATCGTCGACGGATCGGGGTTGGGAGTCCGGCTTTCGCTGGTCGACCTGACCCAGCCGACCGAGATCGATTTGAAAGAAAGGATGAGAAACAAACGCCTAGTCCGTCGGGGAATTTCAGAAGTCACCGAGAACCGACTACGCCATAAAGGAATAAATGTACTTAAGCTACAGGCGAAAGATCAAAGGCTATCACATCTTTTCTAAAGATTCTCAACTAGGCACGCACAACTTTCGTTATAGAGAACGATGAGAAAAATGTACTTTACCAATTTTAGGAAAAATTTCATGAGATAATAACTAAAAAGTTGTTTAAATTCTTGCAATAAATTTTTTATATATAATAAAGTAAAATACATTTACTACTCTTTACACTTTGTGTAAAAAACTAATTTTTGTTATCATTTTTCGTTGTAACATGTTATCAAGCAACCGAATAAAAATATTTACAATAAACTGAAAGGTGTTTGTAAAATATTTTCCTGTTTATCTCTATACACAGAATCGACGTAAAAGAACTTATTTCACTTAAGACTGGCGTACTGATGAGGTCAAATAAAATCGAAGACGCGATCCACTTTTGCTAATTTCTACAAAAATGAATTCTTACTTGTTTAAATTTTGAAAATAATATTGAATAGATTCTACCTATACTTGATAAAAATCCATATCAATCAATAAAATAATGCAACAAGATTTTCACAAGATTGGCGAAACAATTGTTACTGGTGAAATAAAAGTTTGTAAAAATCATGTCTCATCAAATATTTAGAAGAAAACATTAATATTGGTTTAATAACAACTCAAGAAGAATATAGGAAAAGAAGGTCTTATTCATTAAAAAATTAACTGCATATACCGAATGTGATAATAAAATTTAAAGAAATTTGTCTTACATGATTAAGTAGCCTCAAAATTTCTTCCCTCACAATATCGCCCTTCTTCAGGATCTCTTCTGAAACGCTGTTTATCTCTTTTTCTTTACAAACGCCGAAAACGTCTGGATTACTGGGTCCCTATAAAATTTGTTTCAAATTTTTAAAATTAAAAACATATACTTTGGGTTTTGTAAAATCTAAAAGTAGTTTAAGGTCAACAGTCACGATAAACGTACTGATAGAGGGAACATATGATAAATTTAAATAGGTTTAACATTTACCCGATTTGATATTTACATTTTATCGAAATGACCTCTTTTTAGCCACTATATTAATAAAGTAAAATGTGATACGTTTGTTGTGGTAAAGTCAACATTAATTCAAACTGGTTTTAACCCTTCAAATTAATTTCTGTCTCAAATATATTTAAATAATTTAGGTGAATTTTATACGTTTTTCTTGCCTATAACAAAACAGCACGCTGACTGATCGAAAAAATATGATGCGCTATATTGTAAGTACGTACTTAAAAACGTCAAGTTGGTTCTTGCTTGTTCTCTAAAATGAACCACACTGAAGTGTGTGTAAAAACTTATAATTTTGAAAAAAATTATTTGTCAACATAATTTATCATATTTTTTCCTGACAATGCCATATTATTTTCAGACAAATGCAGCCACAGTAAATGTATAAAGTTCATCGATATTTTTCTAGTAGAATTCTCCTTTAATATTTTTTCAATACAAAGTAGCTAAAAGGGGTGAAATATTCATTGTTTGTTAATTGTTAATCTCCAACCAACGTTTCGCTTTTTTGGTCCAAACATTATCAAGAAGCAAATAGGCGAAACGTCGGTTGGAGATTACGTAACAAATAAATAACATTTCACTCTTCTCGACTGCTTCTTTTTGAAAAAATATTACTATCATCATTGGGGAATATAGTACAAAGGACGAATTCTTTCTTATTTTTTAGGGCGGAAATGAGAGCTGACTGATACTTGTCCTGAATGGGTCCTTCAAATGTTATAATAAAAGAATAAAGTACGAGACGATCTTTATAAATCAATATCTACGAATCTCTTGCTTTTAGTGATATTAATTAACCCTTTTGTGCTTGTAATATCTACTACTTGAGTGTTAGTTATCACCTTTAAGATGTTATGCATTCCTATAACGATTTCTAATTTTCTAGACCATGGGTTGAAAAAGCACGACCAGTCAGTCTCAATGGTAGCAAAACCACCGTTTTGGACTGCAAATCTGTAAGGTTTACTTCTATAAACGGCACCGGCGATCTGGCATTGGCTTAAAGCTAAAATGAAACTCTTCTGTAATAAATAGAAACTGAAAATTGTAACATTTATTATTCACCTGCTTCGTAAACCTCCTTAAGTAGTGGCATGTCCTCAGGATGATAAAAATCGAAAACGGAACGTCCTAGAATGTCCTGAGGCATAAACCCGAAATTTTTAACGATATCTGAATCCACGTATGTTACTGTACTAGCCGCGGTATGATGCATGTTGAATTTAGGAAGATTTTTCTCCTCGTTGGGTGCTACAAAATAACACAAGAATATATATGTACTGCTTATGAACAAACCTTTCAAGATTATAAGCCCCTCAGAGCAAATTCGTTTTATTTTTTTTTTTTTGCTAACGAATAATGAAACATTGTTTCTCAAAATTCTTTAAATTCATCTTATGTGAAATAAACTTAGTTCATTCATTATCCTTAAACAAGATTATCCATCATGTTTCAGAGTAAATGTAAAGTACAGTCGATTAATTTTGTTAGATTAAGGTTGATCTCCATTTATTATCATTTAATAGAGGAGTTTACAGACTCTTCAAACTTTGAACAACAATATTATCTTACAAGTTCTAGGACATTTAAATCAGAAATATTAGACAAGATGTAAATCAATTGTGTATGATGACGTTAAGTGTTTAGGTCAGGAATACACATATTTGTGATTGTATTAGTGTCAAAGCTCGAGGTGAATCTAATCGTAAAATTCTGAAATGTATATTATTTTAATTGAATAAAAATTAGTGGAATACCACCACAACGATATCTAGTTTATATAAATATATATATAAAAAAGTATGGTAAAGGTCTAGATGAGGAGGTCTCCCCCACCACTTTACCATAAAAAGTTCGTGGCGGTCTCACCCCCATAAAAAGTTATGGGGGTTCAAAGTTAATAAATATGCCAATTTTTATACATTTCTAGGCATGCAAATATTTATATAGTCATTCTTAAACAATATTCAAAGGTAAAACTAATGAAAAATACATAAAAATATTGAGAAAGTTATATAAAACATTATTTAAATATCTTTATCAATAGGTTAGGTTAGGTTAGGCTAGGTTATCGGGTTTTGTTCCAGTGACCACCCTCTTTCGATCCCCCACCTCCACCTGCTTGAAAATAATCATTTTATTGAATTTTATTTGAATTATAGTGTATGAAAATTGTCAAAATAATCAACTTTCAACCCCTATAACTTTTTAGGGGGGTGAGACCGCCACGAACTTTTTATGGGACAGTGGTGAGGGAGACCTCCTCTTTCGAAACCACCCACCCCCAACCCCTTTGGGGGTGGGGGGCCACAATCTAGACATTTACCAAAAGTATAATCATTCTTCCCCTGTTTTTAAATTTAGTGTGAATCAATGCCAAAAATGAGGTGGAGAGGGTTAAATGTTATATATTATTCAAAAAAGTTTTTATTTTCAATCGGTGCTTTATAGTATTACCTTTGAACGACGACGTTACCGGAACGGCAACAATGATAAGAAATATTCCGCCAATACTGCTCGAATGTTTCGTTTCCTGCGAATCGTTGATATGCCTAAATGTGGCTGTCAGTTGGAAGGCCTGATAGGAGACAGTTTTCTCAACCACCCCGAAACCGGTCGTTTTGAGACCTTTGTATTTCCTCAAAAAGACGTAGAACGAGTTTTTCATATCTAAAACGAAAAGGTTTATTTGGGGAGGTGAATAATGGCCTCTATGCGGATGTAAATCACTAACTTTTTCCAGCGGAATCAGTCAGTGGAATTGTAATACCCGTAGTAACCTGAGCGGAAAATGTCTCTCTATCTTTGGGATGAACGAAATCGATGAAAGAACGACCCAACCACATGTCCTTCGGGAATCCTAATAAATTCGTGAGACTCGGCGTCGTGTACAGGACTACGCCGTCGTACATGGAAATTACGCAACAAAAACCTTCCTGTAAATCACAAAAACATCCCAAGTAATTACCCTCTTTGTCTACTAAACGTCAGTGGCGGAACAATGGGTAAAAGTGCACTCTCCTTAAAGTTAGCTCGAAATATTACAATACAGCCAACATAGCCACTTCGTTCGTGTTGTCTTTTCCTGCCGTAAGCATAACGGTAAAAAAAAACAGTTATGTTATATTGCTGAGGCAACTTTAAAGATTCATTCTTTTTTAATGCTGGTCACTAATTAAGTACTTGTTAATTATAATAAGAGCAAAATGTACGTTTTAAAAATTCTCCTAAAAAGTTATTTACGTTAAATATTTTTGTTTTGGTTCCTTAAAAGATGAAACAAACAATCTTTTTGATGCTACTTTCTAATTTTAAGCGAAAAAATATCCCAAACTTGGTATGAATTACATGAATAAAATATCCCCTAAGAGAAAGCGACACGTTTCCGAGAGAAAAAAAAAAAGAAAAAGATATTGTACCTCTAAATCGTTACAATTGCTTTTGCCGAACGAATCAAGAGAGTCATCGGAACAAACGTTCGTTATTTCTTGGGCATTCGGCGGCTCCTGGGGTTGGTGATTTACGGGGATGCCATTATTCCAGTCCGTTATGTTTTCTGCCGGCGTCGTCTCTGAAATTTGATAATAAAAAATGCTCGAAATATGCTGGTTTCCTTAACAACGCACTATTGCGTTTCCAAAAATGTTCTCCGATATCTACTAATTCCATCTTCGTTTACAATTTCTTATCCAGAATAATGAAATTAGCAGTTAACAATGAAAATACAATCAAACAGTAACTCTTTTACAAGGGCCGATTACTACCAGACGTAGATTAAGCAGCATGCATATGTGAACATTGCAATTCAAAACAATATGTTGTCGTCTTGCCAAAAATACGTAACCGAAATACGCGTAGTGTAGAACCGACCTTATAAATTAAAATGAAGCTTACAGTCCCTAGGACTTGAAGTAATTATCGAAGTGGGCGGAGGAAAGTCTTAACAAACGCAAAACGCGTGTTTTCATGCCTAATATTTTCAACAATATTAAATATAATAGCATTAGAAAATTAACCCTCAAAAATGCGATAAGTATGATTAATTCAGAAGCAAAGCATAGCAAATTAAGTAACAATAGAAAAAAATTATGTGAAGCGTGTGCTTGTGAAATATACCAACTTAGTCTGAGGATGGTACTCATCACGAGCAGTAAAACGTTTGGCACAGCACAAATCAGATAACTCTAAATCAAATATTCCTTCTTATTCTGTAATTGTATTCGTCTGCCTTATTTATGTTATGCTTAACTCTTAATCGATCTAGGATTAAGTAACGTACTCATTGATAAAATAGGTAATCCATAAACTTAAATTCAACCAACATTTTCGGGACATCTAAAGAAGGCTGTCGAAACGTAAAGAAACTTGAATAATCACCCGCACTTTTTTTCAACAGGAATTTATTATCTTCCATCACCAGCGGTGCCTTATATACGTCGCTTCTTGGAATAAGCACAATTGAAGTGGTTATGAAGATAACTAATTGTCGCATACTTTTATCTTTATAATTTGAATTTATAATATGATGATAACTCTTTTTTATCATTTTTTCCTATTAGAATACTACAAATGTTACTTGATAATCATAAATCACTTTCTTTACTGAAGTGATCGAGATGCGTGTGCATATATAAGTGCTCAAAAACGTGTTAAAGTTAAAAATTTGCAAAAGCAGCTCTAAGTTTTAAAAGGTAAAACACAAACTATTTAAAAATGTTACAATATTTACAAGAAAACTTTGCCAAGACGCGACGCGTAATAAAAAGAAAATTTTTGGTTTTCTCCCATTAAGTATATAAAAATTAGCTAAATAATAAACTTACAAACTAGCAAAGAATAGTAGAAAATTCGCAACAAACTCGATAGATTTGCACAGGAGATATCGGTATTATGCTGATAAAATTAATTACTTTATACATTTACGTATAAAAATAAATAAGGTTTACCTGCAGTAGCTACACATTCGGGATTAGGGATGTTAGCTAAATCTATTTCTTCTTCGAGCTTTTGGATAGAGTTTACTGTGATTTCAGGTTCAGAAGTTTCTTTTTCAAATGCTTGAACAAAACAAAAGTTTTATAGTTGCAAGTCTTAGGAAAATTTCAAAGAAAGCTCATGCTTACGCCATCTATAGAAGAAAATTGGAATGATGATTTTCCCGCAATGAGTAACGATTGAAGTTAACTTCATTTGTTCGTAAAAGAAAACGGTTTCTGTTTTATAAATTTTTAGTTTCGTAAGCTTTTATTATTGTTAAATGTAAAGTAGTTAAACTTATCCAAAATAAATGCAAACAATTCAATTTTCAACTATGTATTTAATGAAATAATTTTTCAAAAATTCAACGATTTTAAATTGAATTTTCTTTTATTTTGGAGTAAATAAACTTTAGTAGAAAACCCATTGTTCATATCTTAATGCCACAAATTAATAATAACTATATTATTACTTACTGGGTGGTGCTTGAACAGTTCTTGTAATGGTTTTATTACTTGTAGTCGCATCTATTAAATCATTAGACGAATTGTTTCCTGCGGAAGCGCTAATGCCTTTTAATTTTTTCTTTTTATGTTCTTTATCCTTCGAATGTTTGCTACTACTTGCATTGCTACTGTAAATTATTGAAAGATACTTAACGATTAGATAAAACATACTTCTAGAATTAGTGAAGTCAAAAATCTATGCAACATTTGATCAAAAAAAATAATATCCTTTATAATATATTCAGGGCAAAAAATCTTTTAGTTCTACAATTATTTAATTCTAAACTATTTATGTATTTGTATTTCCATCACATTTTATAAAAAACATTTTCGAACAGTTTATAATTCTGTGGTTCTTAAACAACGTTAAGTCATTTAAAAAACAAGTCGGTTAATTAAATTTTCATGTAGGCCTGATTTACCTGCAAATGAATGCCAAACCGGAAATTAAAAATTACAACAACGTAACGCGAAACATAAATATTTCTGTTCTTTAAAAAACATTAGAACATCATCAGTTTTAACGTTTCTTAAGCCACAAAAGTCTCTTCATACTATTACTTTACCGAAAGTTACAAAAAAATCATATCATAAATACCTTATAAAATGGATAACAACATTAGATTTTCACCAACAAAATTTATTATTGAATATGATATAACAAAAATTGACGAAACAATTATTGTTGTTTTAATTTATTAAAAATCAAGTAAAATTATTTAAAGGTATACTTTTTTATACTCTAAATAGATACCAATAATTCTTCACAGTTTATTTGAATACTAAAATTATAATTTACGTATACAATAGATGATACACATTCTTTTCGTAATACATAAAACTAATTCATGAGTTCTTTTTCAACATTAGAAACTGAGAAGTTTTAATTTGAAGATTGATTAAAGTCATTAAAGAAAACATGTACGAAATTTGATTAATTTTGAAATTATAACAGTTAAATTAAACAACAAGGCTACAATAATTCAGTTGTACAATAATCCCTTTTAATAAAGTTTAAAATTGCTCTCTCTACACTAAATGATAATACGTATACTCGTATACATATTATAAAGAAGTTTTTATGAGTGTTGTACTTATAATTTAACGTTAAATTCGAAATACAATTGCATACTTTTTAAATTGGTTAATGCATAAAGGTGTACCTGCTGTTAATTTTTGAACAATTTCCTCCATATCCGCTACTACCGCTCGAATTACTTCTACTGAGGCGACTCTTGGAACTAGCACTGTAAAATAATATATAATTGTAAGCATTACCATTGAGTAATATACTGCGTAAGTATCGACCCAATTTTTATTGGATAAATTAAACCTATTGATCGATTTCATCATAAGTACTAGCTTAAAATTATTAAGATCGTTTAAAACTTTGAATCATTTCATAGGTCAACCCTTTAATGGTCAATATCTGACCAAAAAATCTGCAGATTAACTAATTTTTTATAAAAAAAAGGAAAATAAATTACCTATGACTAATATAATATAATTTGTACAAAATGTTTTTACTAGAAATGTGTGTTCAAACATCTTCTTTGTTTATTTATTATAGGACACATTTTCGTTAATTGAGCCGCACCTATACTGTTTTAAGAACGAATCACCCATTTTAATTAAATTTGAATTGACAAATTTATTTTAATTAATGTTTGCATAGAAAAAACATTAATACAGGCAATTGCAAGAACTATTAGTTGATCTGTATAATTTATTCTAAACAAGTAAATCTGATCTTTGGTTTAATACATTATAAAATTTAAATATTTTACATCATACCTCCTTTGGGAGTTGCTATTNCATTGTTATTTCGTTAACCATTCTTCCGATTTGAATGCTGTGAAAGAATATTTATAACATTAACTAAAATACCAAATATACCTCATTCTTTTTTTAATTTATATAGACATTATATGAAAACGTTTTAATTAATTTCTATTATTAACAAAATATTCTTGTCCGAGCGATAAAAATACAAACGTTTTCCTTTCTAAATGACGTTATTTTTAAAAAAAGGACTGACATTTAAAAGCGGATAGGACAACTAAATTTGAACAGGATGTGCTTATACAATCTAAAATTTACATTAATTACTAATATTCATGAAATTGAATATAAGAAGGTAATAAACAATAAACTAAATACTAAAACATAAACAAAAATAATAAGGAAAACACAATATCAACTCATGAAATTATTGATATTTTATTAAGTAAGTAATAAATAAATTGTTTTTTAAGATTTTAAAATAACGCAATTTCGTTGGCTTTGCTACAGTCATTTTATATATTATTTGATGCATCCATTTCTGTAATAAGTAAACTATTACCTTTGCTATACGATAATATTTATTTATTTTGAATATTCACAGCCAGGAACGTTTTTACATGTATAACATGCTAACATGCATGACAAAATCCAGGATTTACTACGACCAATAGATATGAATTTTCCAAAAAAATTTCGGAAAACGTAGTTAAGGAAAACCGTAAAAAGTAGACTCTTACAAATTTATTTTACGCAATATGTTTCGCCCAACGGTGACATCTTCAGGCACGAGTATTTACTAGTAAGTACTCGTGTCTGAAGAAACCACTGTTTGGCGAAACGTTTTGCGTTAAGTTTTTGTAGCAATCTACTGTTAGTGCTTCTTTTTATTTATTAATTATTGATTTTCGTCCAGTTAAGGTTGAAACGATTCGATAATAGTAAATTTTTCACTTGTATGTTTTCAGACCAAGCTCTCAATCACTCTTAATGCCACAAATTAATAATAACTATATTATTACTTACTGGGTGGTGCTTGAACAGTTCTTGTAATGGTTTTATTACTTGTAGTCGCATCTATTAAATCATTAGACGAATTGTTTCCTGCGGAAGCGCTAATGCCTTTTAATTTTTTCTTTTTATGTTCTTTATCCTTCGAATGTTTGCTACTACTTGCATTGCTACTGTAAATTATTGAAAGATACTTAACGATTAGATAAAACATACTTCTAGAATTAGTGAAGTCAAAAATCTATGCAACATTTGATCAAAAAAAATAATATCCTTTATAATATATTCAGGGCAAAAAATCTTTTAGTTCTACAATTATTTAATTCTAAACTATTTATGTATTTGTATTTCCATCACATTTTATAAAAAACATTTTCGAACAGTTTATAATTCTGTGGTTCTTAAACAACGTTAAGTCATTTAAAAAACAAGTCGGTTAATTAAATTTTCATGTAGGCCTGATTTACCTGCAAATGAATGCCAAACCGGAAATTAAAAATTACAACAACGTAACGCGAAACATAAATATTTCTGTTCTTTAAAAAACATTAGAACATCATCAGTTTTAACGTTTCTTAAGCCACAAAAGTCTCTTCATACTATTACTTTACCGAAAGTTACAAAAAAATCATATCATAAATACCTTATAAAATGGATAACAACATTAGATTTTCACCAACAAAATTTATTATTGAATATGATATAATCACAAAAACATCCCA